GAAAGCTTCTTACATTACAAATAACTACACAACTTAAACATATTAACGTAACAAGCACAAGCACTGCATGTGTCTTTGTATTTGAAGCTAAATCTACACCGGAGCATTAACCCTTCGCGTCCTCTAACTTACACCCCCCCCTCGTCATAGCATTAGCAGGATAAATAACCGTCAACCGTCCTCTAACGTTAATGACGTACGAACACAACGCTAATTCCGCAGAGCTCAAACACAGCTTTAGCTAAGTTAGCCAACTGTCTTAACTTTACCCCAGTGTCAAACCAGTTAGTAACGTTAGCAATAACCGTTAAGCCTTAAACTTATCCGTGTTATCTGTCTGCTTGTTGAGTTAACCGTTACTGACCTGCTTTTGGTTATGTGCCAGTGATGCTCTGGTTAGTGTACAGGCACGGCTCTACCAAAGCGCATCCCTCCCTGTAGTGCAAAGTTAGCTAGCACAGCACGAGTCCTCTGCCAGCAGTGTGACCCCGTTATAAAAAAACTATCGACTTGTCCCCTCTTTCCAAATACCTCTTCAGGCTTCCTCTCCTCCTCCTTCTTCATCTGATGGCTGTGTGTCCTCGGTTGGCTCGCTGTGGCTGCTCAGGCGATCTGCTGCCCTCATCCGGAAGTGAAGCGCTCAGCAGACACACTGCTAAAGTAAGACCAGTCTGACCGGTCTGACCAGTATTTAGTTACTCTCCAGTCCTCTCTACAGCATTCATCAGGCACAAACAATATGTTTACATATTACAAATAAGAAACCAGAACTATACAATCACAGTAAGCTATATATTACACTAGAGAACTAACCACAGAACAAGCACACACACATTTGTGCAGTCCACTTCAGACAGCTGATTTGGCACAGTTCTGGGACGTCATTCAGTTAGAGTCCTAGCCGAGTCAACCCACTTAACTTCATCCGGCATGCTGAGTTTGAGCCAGTGCTGGGCCAGGTCGTTTCTAATAACAGCCCAGTGATGGCAGTGTCAGCCGGAATTGGGCCGGCTGATTCAGCCCGATTCTGGGATGTCATTCATACCGAATTCTAGCCAAGTCAGGCAAAAGGATGTGGCCCGGCTAATTTCATCCAGCATGCCGAGTTTGGGCCGATGCTGGGCCAGCTCATTTTTGATAATGGCCAAGTGATGGCAGTGTCAGCAGCTGGAATCTGGCCAGCTGATTCAGCCTGATTCTGGGGCATCATTCATACCGAGTCTTGGCTGAGTAAAGCAACTTGATGTGGCCCGGCTAATTTCATACGGCATGCCGCGTTTGGACCAATGCTGGGCCAGGTCATTTCTGGTAATAGCCCAGTGATGGCAGTGTCTGCTGTTGGAATCGGGACAGCTGATTTGGTCCAATTCTGGGGCATCATTCACGCCGAGTCTCAGCCGAGTCAGGCAACCAGACCCAGCCCAGCTAATTTCATCCGGTATGCCAAGTTCAGGCTGATGACATGACATGATATGACATGATGTGACGTGACGTGACGTGACGTGACGTGACGTGACGTGATATGATATATGATTTGATGTGACATGACAGGATATCAATACAACGAACGAACTAACGTGCTGGGCGAGGGGTCATCCCTATGTTTCCAGGGTTCTATGTTTCGGGGAACATAGAACCTTTTTTGCAGGATTAAGTGGGGAACATAGAACCCGGGAAACATAGATACGCTCCCCTGGGCGAGCTCGTGCTGCAGCTGCGCTGTGTTCACTGAAACCATCTCAAACTGTGTTGTGTCTAAGAGGGCCATAACTGGGAGAGCTAATGACATACCCATAATTACGATTGCTGATGATCTTATTGGGCTGTTTTGGTGCCCCAGCACAGCACATGTTACACGTTTTCTCTGCAGTGGCACTGCTAAAATCTACCAAAAGACTAAACTCATGGCAAGACCAGAATTACTGCTTCATGGTTGTATGCCAAACAAGTTAAGTTTCAGTCACAGTTTACAGCCATGTCTGTCCAGTTTCATATGTAGCTGTGACAGAAAACAATGCTTCAAATGTGGATGTCTGTCTGCAAAGAAGCGACAAATTCTAAAACTTGGATGCTTCACACACATCTTCAACCCGGCAGCACTGAAGATCTATAAAATCACAGTTTCAAGAGGCCCAACATTAAGTTCACCAAGTCAGTATCAGACCAAATGTCTCCCCTTCTGTTTCTGAGCTATGGTGTTGAATAATGGTCAGATATGATGTCATAGTGAAGTTAACCTTTTGGAGATGAAATGCAATCACTTCATCATTGTGTCCTGTCAGACATTGTGTGAAATTTTGTCAAAAGTAGTAGAAGAATTCTTGAGGTATGGCTAAAACATGTTTTATGAAGTCACAGTGATCTTGACCTTTAATGACCAAAATCTACTCAGGTCATTCTTGAGTCTAAATAGGCGTTTGTGTCACATTTGAAGAACTTTGTTCAAGGTGTTCTTGAGATATTGCATTCACAAGAATGGGACAGATGGACGTGGATACAGATGAATGGATTTACAACTTGAAAACAAAATTCCCTTCAGCCATGGCTGTTGCCAGCATGGAGGCATACAATTCAGGGTTGTTGAATGAATCAACACGAATGACGTCAGCTGGAGCATTTGTTCGTCATTTTAACTTTGCTGCCACTGTCTGGTTATTAGTACACCACAGCAGCACATTAAAAATAAACTCCAGACCACCCAAAACAAAGTTAGTCAGAGATGTGTTAAAGTTACCTTCCCATACCTATCTTGATTCAGTTGATAAAAGAGTCCCACAGAGTATGCGTAATGACACTCGTTACCCAGAGAGGTTAGAAGGTGATACATATTTTTTCCCCCAAATTAAACCCTGAAAAGTGTAAGGCTAACTACCTAACTACCAAAGGTACAGTCAAATGAATGAAAACACATGCTACTTTTGCTTTTTAAAGATTATAACACTGAATTATGACCTACCCTGCTGTACAGGAACCAGTGTAAAAAAGCAGGGAAACTTTGCCAATATTCAAACAGCTGTGTGTCATCGCAGTGTGTGCAAATGGACATTGTTTAGATACCCCCAGAGCTCCCCGCCTGTTCAGAGGCGTAGGTCCAGTGGCAGAGGCCCAAAAATGTGATAATGTGAATAGTAAAAGTGACTGAGTTTTGAGTGTTTTGAGTGTCATATCAATTGTTTTTTTTACAAAGGACGTAGTACAGGTAGGCTAGCACTGTCAATTCAATGCAAAAAGGACATGTTTGATTTCTTCCTTTTCGTCTAATTTGCTGTGTTTTCCCATTATACTCACATCAGATATCCAAGCAGTTTTTTCCTATGTGCTAGCCCCTTTAAAAGGAACAAACATTCAAAGAAAATGTGTACATTTAGGAATAACATTTGCATTGAAACAAAGACTACCTTCTAAATGTTGAATGAGGAGTCATGAAATTAAATAAACTTTTCTTTTACCCTGATCACTTTAGCTAAGAGGTCAGTTAACATGGAGAGCTTTTATGCAGGCATGGACATGCTCAGTAGGACTCAGTTTACAGCATATAATTTTATTTTATCCGAACCCTTTATCCTAACCAGAGCCACGGCTTGTTTTCATCCTCTCCTTTGCTTGTGCAGCTTTGTTTCTGTGTCTTGTCCGCACTGTCCACATTCCCAGCTGGACCCCAATCCCTGCTGACTTTGTCTTGTTGGAGGATGACTTGTCTAAACAGAGACCAGTTGCCCAGTGAATTAGGATAGCAAGTGTGAGGCGGCAATAATTTGGCCATGTCCCTGACTGAGCTCATATGTTTGGCCTGTCATTGTTCCTTTCCAGTCCCTTTAGTTACGGCTGGATTGGTGCTTTCCTGTGTCCTCATCAGACAGCGGGTTAATCACACCCCTCGGGAAGTTCCTATCTTCGCTGGCTGTCTAAATGATCTGAAATAGCCCTCACTGTCTTTCAATCTGTGTTTATGTGACTCTAAATCCCATAGTCGTGAGCAAAGGCGCTCTTTATCCTGCAAGCTTGTGCAGAGGCAAGATGAAACTTGGGAGACAGTTGGTAAACTGCTCTCTTCATTATTGGCTGTGGTATTTACTGTCACAGCCAACATTATTCTTGGCACGCGGAATAAGCCTTTACGTCTTTGTGTTTTGTGCTAAATATATATTTGGCAGATTTGTTTGGGATGCAGCTTGATTCATATTTATCAAATCTTTGTGGATAGAAGAGGAATCAATGTGCGTTTGGCAGCATTCCCATGCGACAATAATCCTGGCTTGGAAAATCATGTGTCCCACTAATTCAGCAACGGTCAGTGGGGAGTTTTATACATAACTTTTAAGATCCTTACATTACTCAGACAGAAACAGCATATACATGTGACTATGCTTTAAAGTCCCTGACTCTAAATGCATCCTAAGGTATGTGGATCAGTGTCTATTTTAGAACCATCCTTGGGAATTGAATTGGGCCACGAGGCCATTGGGTAAAAACAGCACACGTGAACAAGAAAATAAAGAAGGCTAAGTAATGTGGCACCATTAGAGAGAAATCAATCATGTCAAAGGCTCTTGCTGCCATAGTAATGGCACAGCAACAAGGTCACAAGTGGTAATCTTACAGCAATATTTTGTTAAATGTGCATCCACTCTGCCCAGAGGTGCTGTATGTCCAGTACATATGCACTGCTATTATGCATTATGCATGTATGCTTTTCAAAGACAATTTCCTGCTTCATCCACTGTTTGTGACACAAACTGAGTTGTTCATGTGATGGCTACTTTAAGAGAAAGGGCACAGCATCAGTCGTAAATTAAACTCAATGGCACGTATTGATCTGTGGCACTGGTTCATTCAGCGCAGGATACTGACTGCCTGATGGTTGGTGAGTGAGTTCTGGCCCCCATGACATATTTATGCCCTTTTCCTTTCCTTTTTTTCTTTCCTTCCCTGTCCTCTTCTCTTCTCAAACTAAACATTGCACACAGTACATTCTACACAGCAGAGGGATGTGAGTGAGTGTATGAGGGGAACAGGAACAGCAGGAAGAGATGATTCTGCCTCAGATTCAGGAGGACTGGATTGTGCAAACAGTCAAACTGACAGTCAGACCAGCGCAGCGGCAGTGTGGGACAGCGGGGGTTGTCTCGAGGAGGTGGGGTCTGTCCCATGTGTCGACTGTCTGATGGAGAGAAGAGGGGCACAGCACAGTGAGTATGAAAGGACACAGAGTGCTACGCAGAGAGAGACTGCAGGCATGCAGCGACACGGGGGAGCATATATGTTTAAAGAGGCTGCAGCAGAGCGGGCTATTGATGAGGTAAGAAAGCCGGACTGAGACTGGCTACAAGGAAGCAGTTAATGTCTCTTCACGTTCTGTTATCATGAATGAATCTTTACACTCTGCTGTTTGTGCTGTGTGTATGTCACAGGATTTAGTGGGAGAGAAGGGGTGTTGGGTTTTGGAATGCTTTTCATGTGCAGTATTTGCATTTTAATACTCACCCCAGGTGCAGAAATTCAAGCCTAGCAATACAAAATTTTGGATGAGCGGTTGCACTGATTGTAGCTTGAATGTGATCTACCTTTCTTTTTTCCCCAGGTGTGTTAAGAATGAGATCATCAGAGACCTCAGGTTAAAGATTAGTCAAGCATGTGATTGGACAGTACCTCCCGAAACCTACAGCATGTGACTTTGCGGTGGAGTTTGTAGACTCTCGCCATGCTCTCTCTTTGGAATCTCTATCTTCTTCTCCCACTCTCCTTGCCTTTCTCACTCCATGTCATAGCCTTCACCGGAGACAATGTCAAGAAAACCCAAGAGCCAGACACTGACACAGCCGTGCAGCGTCTCACACAGCCCCCACAGAGGCCTCGTGGATCTGGTTCAATACCTGACAATCCCATGTTTGGGTCAGAGAATACTGACTTCCTGGGTCTACCTATGAGTTGGTCCCTATCGTCATCAGAGGAATCAGACAGACAAGGTGTGATCGGTGAATACACTGATTCAGAGGAGAGCACAGAGACATCTCTTTTGTATCCTTATGAGAAGGGACTTATCATATCCAGGCCCTCAGATACAGAAGATGCCACCTCCAAGGAGAGTACACAGCCATCACCAGGGGGAGTACCGCCTCAACCTACCCAGGGACAAACATTCAAGTATCAGCCAGCTGAGAAAAGTGTTGGATCTGTATTGTATTCCACACAGACTGGTGAGAATCAGCCAAATTTCCCAGCCTCTCAGAATGAGACGACCGACAGCCAGTTACCATTTCTTCCATCTGGCTCGCTTCCACCAGACCAGGACTCCACTTCACCGCTGTCTGCTGGACCTGGGCCCAGCTCGGAGCGCCCCACTCCATCAGTCGCAAGTTGGATATGGAGCACAGGCCCTCCAGTTATCACGCCGGAGGCGACTGTCCCAGTGAAGGAGACCAGAGATGGATTGATTGATATTACGGGTCATATTTTGCACATAGGAGCTGTCAGCATGGATGCAGATAAAGGTAAGAGTCCTACCTTGAATGGCATTTAATGTATTTGGAGCATTCCTCATTTACTAAACCTGACACTAATCATACTGCCTGTCGAGAATGGCAGCATTTATAGTGCTGCCTTCAGTAAAAAACTAAAATAAATTCTACATCACTCTAACTGCAGTGTTTGCGATATGTATTCTGCTGGCACACACAATTGTTTTGCATTCACAGAACGGTTTGCATCACTTCACTCCCCCCAAGCTTTCACTCTCCTTTCTAACTCTTCCTCTCCTCTGTCTTTCCCTTTCAATCCTTTTATCACAGATTGTCCCATTCAGTCCTCCACTGTCTTGTTGATGCAGAAACATCTCATTCCCACTGCAGTCAGCGTCCTTTCCCCACACCCAGAGGTTAATGTGGTGCACACCTACACATACAGTATTTGGTGTGCACACATACACATGATGGCACTTACTTGTCAAAGTAAATGATGTGTTGTGTCCACAAGCATAGGGGAAGGAGGGCTTTGACGGAACTGTGTGAGAAATTACTTGTGTACTCAAGCTGCCTATGCATTTAATACCAGCCAGTTTGCTGAGTAAATGAATCACTTTTTGCAGTGAAAATCCCTTCTTTAAAAGCTACGTCACAGTTTGTTTACGGCTTCTGCATTGACACAATCACTTCACTGCTAACTGAGGACCAGAAAGACACGTCCCTGTTACAACCACTAGGTTCCCTGATTCTGGTGGCTCCATACAGCTTACTCTGAACGTTATTTCAGCAAGAGAATGAGATGCTTACATTATTTAGTGGTTACACAATCACAATCAGATATGAAAGTTAAATACATCTGCATGTTTTAGTGGAAAGGATGCAACATAAAGGACAGCATAACACCTCTTGACCGTGCATAATAATAGCCACACAGAATGAGAGCAGCAATGAGGTCAATACTGGCTAATCAACACACATCTCTCACTCTTACACACACACACACACACACACACGCACAAACACACACACGCGCGCGCGCGCACACACACACACTACATCCTCATGCTCCCACTCTCTCTGTGACCCAGTTAGAGATTCCCAGTTACAAGCCTGCTCTGTTTTATTATGGATTAACTTCACACATGGCAGAATCTCCTCTACTCTCTTTTTGGACAATGACTGTGGATATAATTTACTGTATTCACTGGTTAGTTTATCATGATAGTTTCATCTGTAAATTAATCATCAATATTAAAATTGGCCATTAATAACTCAAGACTAAAAAAAAACAGTAACACAAGTACACAACTAACAGCAAAGTGAGGCTGTGTATTGGGCACAGCAGTGTTCAGAGCTATATGCTAACATCAGCATGCTAATATGCTCATGATGACAAGGCTAACATGCTGATGTTCTGCAGCTAACGTTTGGCATTTTCACCATCTTATTGTGTTAGCATGCTCTCTCCATTTGACAGCCAAAAACTTTGTTATGTCACGTTAAAGGTCCAGTGTGTAAGATTTTGGGGGGATTTAGTGCTATCTAGCGGTGAGGACTGCAGATTGCAAGTAGCTTAAACCTTCTTGGTTAGAATTCTGTCAATGTTCATTGTTCGGGAGATTTTTAGAAGTAGCCGACGTCACCCAGCATCTACAAATGTGTGCTTACCTTTTTTCTGAACCAGACGTTTCAGAGGTTTTTACCATGAGCCGAATTAGACGCAGAGGTCTGTCCTCTCTGAAACAAACGGACCAGGTGATTTGAACAGGTAAAAGCAAAGATCTGTGTTTTTACGACACTCTCATCATGGAGGGGCTGTGGTGGCTGATGTGGTGCCTGATGTAAAAGCATGAAAACACAAATGGCCCTATAGAGTAAGTGTTTGGTTTGTCGATTCTCAGCTACTGTACATACATGGCGGTGCAACATGGCGATCTTTGTAGCCAAGGACCTGCTCCATACGTAGATATAAACAGCTCATTAAGGTAATGAAAATATGATTTTTATTTTCAGATGATTATACACTAAAGAAAGCATACTTATTATATTACGTTTCTGCCAATGTACCCCCCTAAATCCTACACACCATACCTTTAAAATTACTACCCTTTGGTTCTGTGGTGACACAACAAATAAGTTGGTAATATTTTATCTTAATTTGTTTGCTCTACAGATGACACCAAGGACGATGACAGGCAACTCTCCCAGACCAGTGGCACACTCTTGCTTAATGGCACCACAGACACATCTGCCACACCCTGCAAAGCATCAAACCAGTCCTGGACGCCCACTTACCCCGATGATTTTACCCCCAGCGAGTCCCTACGCCCCACTCTGGCCCTCAGCGCTTCCCTTTTTGTCCCTCTTTACACAGACTGGAACTCTGCCCTTGCCACATGGGGATTTGCGTGGGAAGCACACATCTATGGCCTGGGGTCTGTCTTTACTGTATTTGGCCTAATCTCTGTGGTCTGCCTGTTAGGCTTGCCCCTGCGCTGTCCCCCGGGAAGCCCCTATTTCACCCTACTACACTTGTTCCTCCTGGCATTTGCAGGGATCCAAGCTTTCTGTTTGCTCTATGACGCTTACAATCACCAGGATCGTCTCCCTCCTCTGGGCTCTCTGCTGCTCTCTGAGCTGCCTTTCCCTTGTTTGATCTCAGCCTTCTCCCTTGCCTTCCTCCTTCTTTCTTTGCGTTCACGCATGCATCTTTCACTCCGACTTGCTAATTCCACCTCATTTTCAGCCTTGCCCAAACCTTGCCTGTTACTGTGTATGTCCCTGTTGTACTCTGGGGTCTCTCTAGGGTGTGTTGGCATGCTACAGCTCTTCCACAGCCTCCCCTCCATGATCCTGCTATTCCCTCAGGGTGTGTTTGTGTGTCTCACTATCTTTCTCTCATGCTCCTACCTCATCTTCTACTGCTTAATGCAATTCAACACGAAACACATCTACAGGCTGAATGACAATGGAGAGAGCGGAGGATCTCCTGAAGTGATGCGACCTGCAAGTTGCCCCTTTGCTAAAGTGGAGGATTGGGGCAGGGCAGCAGGAGCGGGAGTAGGGGCTTCGTTGTGTTTGCTAGGATGTGGAGGCTTCCAGTTTTATGGGATCTTGCATGCCCTTGGTTTGGGTGGGGTTGATGGCTATGGGTTCCAGCCCTGGCCCTGGTGGGGCTATCAGGTAGGCTGCAGGATCTGTGAGATTGGTGTGTGTCTGGGTCTGTCTCTCATTGGTACACACCCACTATTCTGTCAGAACAATTCCTCTATCAAGACCAGAACTCATCCTCGGCCAGGATCTTGGTCCCGCCTCTCATGCAGCTCCCCCTCACGAGGGCTAACCCTGCCCTCTCAGGGAGGTGCTGATTCTTCTGTCCTCTCCTCTCATGATTCTTGGTCCCAGGGTAAGCAGGAAAAGCTGGTGGTCTGTGATGTCATCACTAAAGGACAGTCGGAGGCCCTTCCTCTTTTCTCAATGGTGGATCCTCCTGGAAATGGGCAAGACTGTGTCCCCAAGGCCAGCCAAACTCGGAGCACTGTACTACCTCTCCCTACACCCCCAAGCCCACCGCACAAACCAAAAAATGCAGCTGAGTCTCAGCTATCATCATTCGATAGCCTAGGACTGGAGACTGACTCTACTGTGGATCTGCGGCCCCCATCTCCCATAGATTTGTCCCGCAGCATTGACCAGGCTCTTTTCAATGAATCCCTATTCTCTCATAGTATCTTTGGTTTGCCAAGACTCTTCCATGCTTCCTCCAGCCACTCTTTGAGCTCTCCTAACCAGGGTGGGTCAAAGCAAGGGCCTAGCTCTGTGGAAAATGCCCTATACCGAACCTCTTCCTGTGGTGACATGGATCAAGAGAATGCCCTGTCCACTTCAAGACCTTCCCAGCCACATGGTGCTTTGACGTCTCACAGCAAGTCACCAGTGTCACCAGTGCAATGGGATTGGAAAGAAAGTGTCTCTGGCTCAACCCAGGGTCTGTGCAGCAATCCCAAGGAGACAGGAAAGCTGCGTTCACATTCCTGGGCCAACAGAGGTCAAAACTTTGCCCAGAGCAGCCTCCCACGAGCAATCCCTCACCTGTCTTACCACAGGCGTTACCGAACCCTGAGCTTAGCCCCCCAGGACAGTCGCGGATCCAGCCGGCTGGCAGGGACTAAACACCTGAGTGAAAGCAAACAGCTGGAATGGGATCTGGCTGTACAGGCAGAGTTTGTTAATGTGTGCAGACAAATTGACACGCTGAGTGTTTGCAGTGACACCATTGAACTGTAGAAAGCAATACAATTCTAGTTGTGGTTAAAATGCACATGACATTGTACAGAAATAGCAGACTCTGACAACATGGTCTCACCTCCAACTCGTCAAATACCAATGCTTGGTTAGTGGCCCTTGGTGTCAGATACTGACCCACAGGGACACCCTTTAGCGAGATCTTCACAGACTTTTTTTTTGACACTCTGAGCAACTGCCGTAGTATAAAGAATGAGAGGGTCTGCATTGGGTGGATGAAAGTGGAGGTGGATGGTTCAAACAAAGTCTGGACTTTCACCCCTGAGATCGAAATTCATGTCCCATGTGAATCCAAAAGTCAACTGAGTTACTTTAATAACAACGTGGAGTTCTAGTAAGTATAGCGTATGCTACTGATGTAGGACACATAATGGTACATTATGTTAGTGACAAGCACACTTGTTTTGAGCCAAAGCATGATGTTTTTTTCCAAACCTAACCACTTGCTTTTGTTGCCTAAACCTAAGGAAGTACATGTAAAAACTGCAGCCCTAATTTCCAGAGACTGTATGCATTTAATGAGCAGAAACTGTACATTTTCTGTGAAAAAAGTTTGTTTTCAAAAGACATTATTCATGTATAGGGGGAACACGCTGTCCCTGAGCATCCAAAACTGACATTTGAGAAGTACCTAGAGCATCGTAATCTGACGTGTAGGGCCACTGACCAAGCATTGGTATTTGACTAAGAGTTGGGACTTAGTTGGGACTAAGAATGTGTTAGGTTATACAAAATGAAATAATTTCTGGAACGAAATTATTTTAATTTAGACCCAACTTATTCTCTATAAATACTGTAGGCCTACTGTTGATACGCTGTTGATATTCTACTGTTGATATGTTGATATTGGTCATTCCAGTTACACATTCATGAATGTCAAGGATCAAATATCTTGTGGTACATAGTGCTTTCAAGGAGTTAACTTAAGCAGGATGTTTAATATTTGTAAAACTGATATGTGGATTTTTTTTTTTATATTTAAAGCTGTCTTGTAGAGAGAAGTCTATGAAAGGGAAAGGAGCCCTCTTTAATAGTGAGTGGACAAACAATTTGGGCTCAAGAACATTTCATTTTACAGCACTGATGTACTGTTGTTTTCAATAGTGGAGAAAAATGGGACGCTGTCGGAGGATCTCATCGTATAATAAAATAAGTCCATTAAGTTGTGTACAAAGTGTCAAATTTATATTTCATCATGGGAACAGACATTTGGCATGAAATGTAGTGCTTTCCTTACAGGATTTTTGAAAATTACGATGTTATTTCAGTGTGGTATAACAAATTTGGAATTAAAGAAAATTAATATAAACAGGATGAGTTTGAGAGATTTTCTCTTTTACTCTCTCTTTTTTTTTCCTTTTTTATGTTTCCTTTCTATCTACAAGGCAAACTGTGGCACCCAGTTTTGCCAAGACAAAGATCTGGGCACACAGTGAAAACCCCATGGAGAAAATTGAGGTGCCCTGCTTTCCAAATCGCATACTTCTACTATATACTTTTAGTATGTACTGCAGCTGCCCTTAAAAAGTATGTAGTGTAGTATGCAGTGTGCATGCAGTATGCATACTATTGGGACACACTACATCCGCCATCACATCGCTCCCTGAACTCCGACCCTCTTGCTCACTTCCGCCGCCGTCTGTAGCGCCATATTTGAATATTTTTTTTTGTTGTACTTTGGAGATGCAGCAAATCTCCTCTCGTCGAGCTCGCCAGAGTCGTGCATACTGTCGGAGGTGCCGGAGAGCTCTGTTGCTGTTATGTCGTCATGTATGTTGTTGTTTCTAATAAACAGTCCCAAGCCTATTATTAGTGACCTGTCTATTGAACTAGTCACCAGTAGGCATATTAACCCCTTCACACACAGCTCTGTTGCTGGCAGATGTTTGATGTTGAATATATTTACAGCTATGCAGCTGCTGGCACTATATTCTGTCTGCACGTGATGCAGCCTTACATTCACATTACTTTTATTTGTAGTGTAACATACCTGCACATTCTTACTACATTACTTAATATGTGTTTGACTTTTACTATTCATATATTTACTAGTCTATACTGCTCATACCTGGCCCATAGTGTATTTATATTTAGTCATATTCATTCATTATTTATACCACACTTACACCACTGCCTGTACTGGTAGAATCTTCTATATTGTAGTCATAGTTGAACCCTATCATTGATTATACTGTAATCACAATAAAGTTGAATGTTGTAACCGTGTTCTTGCAAAACTGTATGATATGTGACAGTATATAATCAGATCATTGCAGTCCTAATATGTAGTGTCTTAGTATCTCAAATTAAATAAACCATGTATGAAAGGAAGTGTGGGCGTTGGTTGTACACGCAGCTCAGTGTGACGTAACTTCCGCTGCGCAAAGGATTGTGGGTCAGAATGGCCAAAGAAGCATGCTGACATGCATACTGCGAAATGTGACCAGATGTAGTAGAACATCCTGGTACTTTTGGCATACTGCATCTGACATACTATGTATTGGGACACACTAATTCTTTTTCTGGCATACTAAATAGTATGGTAGTATGGGTATTGGAACGCAGGGGTGGTTACAATTTGAATATATTGCCCTCTAGTGGCAATGAGAAAAACAACACCTTTTGCTCTCTGGAGATATGACAAAAAATGTTAAAACAGAGTTTTAAAAAATGCCCTTTTGGAATTATCTTTATTCATGCAACATTCTAAAACCTTAGGGTGGATAATAAAGGAAGACAATAATATTTCCTTTATTTTTTCTCGGCTTTACACAAGTTTTCAGCAGAGATCTGATAATGTGGCGGTTTAACTTTTGTGTTACTTTACTCTTTTAATGAAATAAAATGTTGATCATGTAAAACATAATGCCAGAGACATGCAGTGTTTTTGTTAAGTGTCTTTTATTCTGTAAATAAAATATCAGACTGCTTGATTTCCTACAAAAAAAAGAGAAATACCTTGAGTCATACATTAAATGAGCGTGGAAATATAGGGCTGCACCTCTGCAATGTTTGTTGTATGAAGTCTGTACTTTAGAATCAGGTGAAAGTGTATTGTTTTGTCTAGATTTGTTTCGTCTAGATTTGAAGGGATCAGAAACGGGATGGAGACGACAAAGAGGGGAGGACACAGAAAAGCAGTGTCAGATTTTAGAGTGTGTATGATGTACAGCAACTTTGTAGTTTGATCACATGCGCCCGGTGCATCTGCTCATAGCTGCTGGTGTCGGGACAATAGGTCCTGCTCGAGTGCTTCCTCTTCCTCCTCCTCCTGCCTCAGTAAAGTCGTTTCTCGTAACTGAGCGTGAAAAAGGAAAAGAAGAGTGTAAGCGTTTCCTGTGTTGCAATAACATATCGTTGCTATAAAAGCAGTCTTGGGTGGAGATGAGTGGATGAAAGAAGAAGATGGAGGTGTGATAAGATGGACGTACTTACATGGCACAAAAGAATATCTAATGTGATAGCATGGGTAAAAAAAAGAGGAAGAGAAAAGACAAATGTTGATGCTGCTAAGCACATGTAAAATCCATTTGACAGTAACAGGGTTTAGCTCAGAGACACAGTGTTAGTGCCACCACAATGTTTAGGCAGTAGAAAGGGGTCTACAGAAAAGAGACACAGGGGGGCTCCTCTCATTTCTCTATTTTCTGCCTCCTTGTTTCCCCTCTCCTCCATCCTCCTGCTTGTGACCGGCAAATCAATCTCAGTTTGCCATCTCAAAGAATGTTTAAATTCCTAAAATGCATCCAGAGAAAAGGCGCCCTTTAACGTGAGCTTTAACGTGTTTGTTGTTGGAGGAAAAAAAAATGTCAAATTTTATTTATAGCTGAGACCTTAACCCTTTATTGCTGATGGTTAGAATAATCTATCATAAATTATGCCAGAGAAATATGGCAGATAGTGAAAAGAGAGCCAACCAACCCCAGTCTCCCCTGTTGATATTGCTTTAAAATCACAGCTCCAAAGTATGGTTGTCTCAGTTTGTTAAACGCCTGTTGCCTCTCTGCTTGCATCACAGGTGGGAGGGACTAAGACACGAGGAGAGGAGGTGAGGAAAGGAATTGAGGATATACAAAACAAGAAATGAGAAGAAGGGATGGAGTAAGAACGGGCTGCAGAGGAGCAGTAAAGGTCAAAAGCTGGGGGTCAGGGGTCAGAGGCCAGACTTACGAGTGGAGGCCGTGGACGCCTCCCTCCATCTGAGCAGACATGGTCCTCTTCTCGAACTTCAGCTCTCCAGAGTACATCATCGACCTGATGCAAAGACACACACAGCTCAAACTAGCCAAAAGCCCTTACACAATAAAAACCCACACACTTGCACACACACAATTCAACACTTACCGTAAAATAGACAAACTCTTTGCCCCTATGTCCTGACAGCCGTGTTGGATACCGGCAATGAGGTAAGGAACAAACTTATGGATGGAGCCTTTATCTTGTACTGATCCTGAGACACCTTGAGCCACCTTCACCTTATCTCCCTCGCTGGATACACAAACACAATTCACACACAGTAACGAGATAAATGTGTCACCATGACATCCAGTGACTGTATATTTTTCAAAGGACCTCTGTAGCCCCACTCTCCCACCTGAAGTAACGTTTCTGACTGTTATTTTTCTCCATGGCATCCAAGGAGCCCATTCCTCTGTACTTTTTCAGACGCACACCATCTGAAAAGAAATATTCTCCCGGCGCCTCAGTGGTTGCCGCGAGCAACGACCCCATCATCACTGAGGGCAGAGATATGAGAGGACAAAAAAATGGGATGAAGTTACAATGACTGCAAAGGACAACAGCCAAGGGCAAAGAGACTACACTGCTTTTATTTTGAAAAAGTACTGTATATGTAATCTTAAAGGTCCAGTGTCCAGGATTTAGAGGCATAGCTACATTAGTTAAGTGATTTATAATATGCATTACTATGTTTTTATTTGTTTATAATTACCTGAAAATAAGAATCATCATGTTCTCGTTACCTTAGAGCCACTTCAATCTGCAAATGGAGCAGATCCTCTCCCATAGAGTTTGCCATGCTGTTCTACAGTAGCCCAAAACAGACACACTATACACTATACACTACACAAAGGAGAAGTTTCAGTTTTGCAACCTCACTGTTAGATGCCACTGAATCCTACGCACTGAACCTTTAAAGCGGAAACGGAAAACTTTTCCCCCTCTAGCATTTCCAAATGGTATTATTGTTTGCACCACTGTTGTAAAGACAACCAGATCACTTTCCGTTTTCCTCAGAGCCCAGCTACTCCCACCAATTCAGGACACACTGCATTTTGTTTTCCACTTTTACTTTGGTTGTTCCACTGTCCACCATTTTACCCAAGCTCCCCTGATTTTTTTCTTTATCACACCGATACCACAGACTGTAAAAATAATGGACGCAGCTACCAAGATGTCACCCATTGGTTTGTGGACTCCACTTTTTGAATATATATATATATATATATATATATATATATACATGAATGAATGGAAATACCTACAGAAACATTTTTTTTTCTACCAGGTTGTAAGCATGTTTATTTCCGCTGCAAAGTTAGGCATTTAAACATGGGTGTCTATGGGGACTGACTGGCTCCTGAAGCAAAGTGGCCGTTCAAAACCTCTTCCTCTTCATGTTTTGGTTGCACAATGGTTGACGCACTTCTTTTGTGCCTTCATTTTCCAGGGAGATAATACCCGGTGGCAGACAGAATTGCACAGTGAAAGCAAGGCTTGTAGGGTAACCCCCTAACCCCTAACCCTAACCCCGAAAATGTTCACCTGCATCTTTATATCAGTTTCTTCAATTCAATTCAACACTTATGAGATCCTTAACCGTAGTTCAGATGAGTTATAATTAAACCTTCTTAATGATTGATTTATTTATCTATTTATGTATTTATTCATTCATTGACCTATTAAGCTGTTTGTTTATCTCATGAATCTCATTAGCAGTCACCAGGTTATTACTCCAGAGACCCCGGGGGATGGGAGAATCGTTAATAAATGACAAAGTCCCCGTTGCACCACACATGCAGTGGCCCAGTACCCTCAGATTTTATCCAAAATTTTAAATTATTGTTATGTTCTTTGGGCTCCTCCAACCCCTATTGGGACTTATAAAAAGACATTTTTAAGTAGATCACATACTACCACTCCCCTAGAGCCTGTGCCCATTGGAGCACTCTTCTCAGAGCACTGCCCGACTTAACCCTAACCCTCCACACGCTGATAGTGTCATCATTCTATAGCCGCTACATCATGTAATCAACATTTACTTCATAAGGACAAGCAAAGGCAAAAAACTTGCCTATTTCCACTTTAAAAAATAAATAGAATGAGAACATCACAACAGCCAATCAACAGCCACACGCCCTTCTGATTCCTGTCCAATATGTCATTACATATGTGTCCACTGAATGATCCAAATGTAAACCACAATAACTAAAGACCAGAGGAAACAGGAGGACATTATCCACATTCCATTTATCCACCTGTAGATGCTCCCAGGGCCAGAGCCTTCACCACATGTCCAACAGTCTGAATGCCTCCATCAGCGATTACCGGCACTCCAAAACGTCGTGCATACTCTGCCACCTTGTACACCGATGTACCTTGGGGTCGTCCACATGCCATCACTGATGGAAAAAGGACATGTAGCATAAACCTGCTTTAAGTTTTTCACAATTTTACTGACTTTGTTTTGGACACACAGGGTTTTATCTTAAACCAGCAGCCAGCTGTTCACAGTACTGCACACTTTATCGTACCTTCCTGGGTGATACAGATAGAGCCACACCCCATGCCGACTCTCAGGGCATCCACACCAGCATCTATGAGGTTTTTGGCCTGAGCAGCTGTCACCACTAGAGGGAAACAGACGCACAAAAAAGAGCTCAGTGTGGGAGACATGGATAATGAGTGTTCACAGCAACGATGCAGAACAAAGTTCTGAGACAGGAGGAGTGCTTACCGTTTCCACCAACAACCTGAAGTTCAGGATATTTCTGTTTGATGTAGTTTATCATGTTGATTTGATAAACTGAGTTTCCCTGAGAGGAATCCTGGTATCCAAAAAGAGGGAAATAGTTTAAATGAGGGAGGAAGCATACAAAATGCACTACAAGATAATATTTAAAACAACAGTGTGTTAGATTTAGGGGGATTTAGTGACACCTAGTGGTGAGGGTTGCATATTGCAGCCAGCTGAAAATTCTCCCGGTTAGAATTTCTTCAGTGTTCATTGTTCAGGTTTTTTTTAAGAGGAGCTGAATTGTCGGCAGAGGTCTCGTCCTCTCCAAACCAACAGACTAAGTGATTAAAACCAGTCAAAACACTAAATAAAGGAGTTTCCCGTTAAAAAAAAATCAATATTATTTCAGACACTCTCATCACAGAGGGGCTGCTAAGGTAATGAAAACACAATGATTCTTATTTTCAGGTAACAAACTCTTTATATTATATTCCACTTCTCCCAATACATCCCCCTAAATCCTACACACTGTACCTTTAATTTAACTCTTCTATTAGTCCATAGAGCCACTAAATTTATCCTCGCTGATGATTTGTCTGACAAAACCTACCAGGACTACCACATCCACCCCAGCCTGCATGAGGAGGTCAAGCCTGTACTTGTCGTCCTCCCTCGTACCGATAGCAGCTCCGCACAGCAGCTGTTTTCGTGAGTCCTTGGAAGCCAGAGGATAATCTCTGTTCTTCTTCAAGTCAGTCCTAGCAATGATGGCGACCAGCTCATCACTGTCATTCACTATGGGGAGCTTACCTAAGAGAGTCAGAGTGTGAAATGAGTGAAATAAAAAAAAGCACAAGTGTGTATCTGAGTCCAAGTGCTGGTTACTTTTGCTTCACTGTAGCGTGACCTACTTCACAGTTACCTTTTTTGCTGCGTTGCAGTATGTCGTTAGCCTCTTTCAGTGTGACTCCAGCAGGTGCAACAACTAAATCTTCCCTTTTTGTCATTGCCTGAATCAAAAGAGGTTATATTGATTCAAACAGTGAGGACATCAATGTACCACTCACTTATTTGGCATTATGTAATTGCTGCAAACACATCAGTTATACACTCACCTCCTCCAGGGGTCTGTCGTGGTCCTTCTCAGACAGAAAGTCTATGTCTCTGGAGGTGACGATGCCGACCAGCTTGCTGCCCATCTTGCCCGTCTCTGTAACGGGGATCCCAGAGAAACCGTGGCGTGTCTTGGCCTCAAACACATCCCCCACTGTGTGTCCGGGACTCATCACCACTGGGTCTGTAATAAAGCCCTGTTCAAATTTCTGCAGAAGGAAACACAAGTGTTAAGTAATTAGAGGCCATTCAGTTGATATTGTTTTTAAAAGAGGATTTTATTGTGAAACAGGGCTGTCGTGGGTGCTACAGTGTCACAGATGGCTTCCTCTGTCATTTGTAAGTTCGTCTTTTTTGTTAACTTGGTCCGTCTTACCTTGACTTTGCGCACCTCGTTGGCCTGGAACTCAGCAGTACAGTTATGGTGAATTATTCCGATTCCACCCATCAACTGAAACCAGCCAATCAGAGACATGAGAGCAAAGAATTCACTGATGAAATAATGCTGAAAAAGCAACCAAGGCCGTCAGTGTTATTATGCAATGTCTTGGCAGAGTCTGTGAAACAGGATGATGCTAAGCTAAGTGAATAATGAGATAAGGTGTGTGTAAGGTGGTGCAGTGTTTGTACTCACTGCCATGGCGATGGCCATGGATGACTCTGTGACTGTGTCCATGGGAGATGAAATAAGAGGTGTCTTCAGGGTTATCTTCCTTGTCAGTGCAGAGGTAAGATCCTGAAAATAGGGTGCATTTGGGAAAAGAAACATCACACATAGAAAAGTAAATCCAGAATGATATAAAACATCATTTCTACGGTGTTGCAGCTGCACATTTGTCATCCTAATGTTAAGGTGTTGTTTTTATTTTTGCCGTGTAGTGAGCCTAAAAGCCAGTCTGGGCACACTAGAGGCTGACTTGTTGAATTCACCTGCAGAGTGTTAGATGACGCAGGTGTGTGTCTGTTTTGAACACCTGCTATCCAGCAATAACCCATGTGACCTAGGCATGAAATTAATTTAACGTCCCAGCAGAGCTTGCAAAGACGAAAACAAAGCAAGCCAAATAAACAACCCTGCGTTCTAAGGAACATAACAAAGAGTTAGGGATTAATTACAAGGATTACAGCCAAACCTGTCTGTACGTGTGAATTACTTTCAGGGATATGAATTAAGAGCAAGCATGGGCTTTTTATTTTTCATTGAGGTCGAGCACAAGAACGTGTTTGTGGCCTAAAGGATCTACAATCTAGAGGTACAAAAAAGGGAACTCTTCATGGAAATGTAAACTCCTCAGTATACTGTGCACCAGAGAACAGTATACTTGGAATATGCCGGACAGAGTTGGGACACTCACCACTTCATCAGAAGTAAAATCTATGAAACCAGGGAGGATCAAGAAGTCACTGAGAGGAGAGACAAAACAAATGTGAACATCTCAGTCTGGAACTGCAAAAGTAGGGCATAAATAAAATGATAAAAACAATGTAACTGGTAACAATCAACACCATGAACAAGGACTGTGTATCATTAGTTGTGTACGTGAGCTGTGCAGCACACATCCTACAAAGCAGCCGTATTTTAAACTTAGCCGACAGTGAGCAGACATAATCTGTCAGCCTTTCAAGCCACTGAAATATTCTGCATTTATCCTCTGCACACTGATAAATCCTGTATACAGCCTCCATTAAGGAAACTACACCAACACCCATTAACACACTGATATGTGCACAAACACACACACACGCTGCTCTGAATGTCTGTGACACCACTCAGAGTCATCCTTGAAAGTAGTATTACTCATTATAATCCTCCATATAAAACCCAAGCAAATGTGTCATCCCTGATATTACTAAACATGTAATGGAAGACATTGCATAACTCTAATGTGTGTTTCTGTATGCGTACCATGTGCGCACATACATCTGGCAGTGTGTTTAGTGTGTGATACCATGAAATGAGCCAGTGAGGTGACTTTTCTCACTTGTATGTGAGTCCGTCGCCGATAGCAAAGAGCTGTTGTGCTGTCAGTCCATCTTCAGGAACATAACCCGTGCCTCCACTGATCAAGTAGTCAGCCATGCTGAAATATAAAAACACACAGGATGTAACTGAAAATATGAAGTACCAGGTCTGAATATTAGCAAGTTTATAAAGACATGACAACGAGTAAATTACTTATTTATATCATGTGCTTCATGGCGTCATAGAGTGAATTCCAGATATGAGTTGTCATTGTTTATTGTTACAGTTTTAATAAACATTTTATTGATCATTTCAACACAGTCCATCCACTACTGACTGCAAGCAGTGTGAATAAATTTATAAAATAAAGTTTGTTTGTTCTGGAGGTATTTATCCCTTGTGCAAAACATGCGTGTTGTTTTGCTCGCCTCTTTCTCGACCTCTATTTCCTACACCCATGCTGCCGCCAGATCCTATTACAAGTGTTGGAGTGTAGACAGGAAATGCTAACAAAAGGGATCTGTCCTTGTCTACGGAAACTCTTTCTATACACCTGTGACGGCAGTACAGTAGGTAAGAGGATTTGGTTGGCTGCCCAGGTAGCTGATAAAGTGGCTTGTAAAGGCACACAACCAGCACTGCGGGAGAGCGAAAACATCTCAGTCGCTTCCGATGTTAATATCATGAGCTATAAGGCTTCACATAATTAGCGAAGGGCATGACCTTCGAGTGTGTGCAGTGTGGTGATAGACCGAGCAAAAGTACAGGACTGACCTCTCAGGTTCATATCCAGCTTGGATACGTGTAGCACTGTATCGCTGGGCTGCAGTCTCATGCCCATGTCCGTGTGGCATCGGGTGGGCATAGACCCCGTAGGGGTGAGGTTGCTCTCCATCTCTGTTTGAGATGCGTGGCCTTGCTGGTTCCATGTCTCCTACAATCCTCCGGTAGTCAATTTGGTAAGTGTCCCTCTCCCCATCTCCAAACCGGTCATACCCATGACCCTCCATCTCCAAGAAATCCAGGGCTACGTCCTCCACTAGGCCCAACCACCTCACACACACACACACACACACTTCAAGCACGTCTGACTTGTTTCATACACACAAACAAAGTCACACCTTCACACAAAAAGTGACCCCAGTAGCTCCTCCACACAACAACACTATCAAATCGCTGTTCAGTTATAAGCACTCATAAACACCCAATGCTTTGAGTGCATGTTCACACAAATACCTTTCAGACACACCTGACATAGGAGGAAGCTGTCTTGCCATCTGTTTTGTGGCCAGAGCCACAGTTAAACCAAAACGCAAGATTTCACACACAAGTTTTCAAAGATCTGAAAATGGCAGAGGCAGCAGCAGAAGTCTCTTAAAATAATGTGGTTTGGCCGCAGAAGAGTTTGTATTCCAGTTTGTCAGCTCTCATTCCTGGAGTGTGAGGCCAGTAGGGCCCTTGGACATTGGAAAGGACACCGAGATGTTAGCTAACCTGTTGAACTCGCTCACCGGTTTAGAAATCCATGAATGTCCCCCAGCTGGAGGCATGAGCAGCCGCTGGGGACGAGAGGCCAGGTCCTGCTTAGGTGGCAGAGATTCGTCCCCCTGGAGGCCTTGACTGCAGTGCTGCTTGGTTATCTGTGGAGCTTCTCTCCACTCCGTTCTCCCGGTGCCTGCTGAGCTTAACTCTGTTTCTGACAGTAGCAGACGTCACTCTCCCACAAAGAGGATTGGGAGCATTAATACAGAATGGGGTGGGGTGAGATGGGTGTGTAGGGTGGAGTGAGGCAGTAGGACTGAGGAAGAGAAGGATGGGTCAAGATGACACTTGAACACACTTTCCCCTCAGAGGATTACCATGGTGTAGAGGTGCGTGTGTGTGTTTTTTTGCAGAGCTCAAGGAGACGGAGCTGTGAATGAGACAAAGGTCAAATCCCAGAATGCTAGTACGCTGCATGCTTTGCTCCTTTGAGAGGGAGAGAGGAGAGACAGACAGAGAGAAAGACAAACATACAGGTGTCTGTGTGCATGAAGAAAGGCAGAACTTCTATGGGCAACAACATGTTGTGATTGCTTCTTCATTCTTAAACTGTCTATATCCTATTATTTTCTGTCATAGTAGTGCAACAAAATAAACTTATAAATATATACTCGCAGAAACCCATGTGTTAAGAATACTGATGGATTCGATTTTACCACCACCAGTCAGAAAACAATATAATGAATGCAAGGAAAGGTTGACTGTAAGGTCCAACCTGTACATTTAACAGGAGACAGGAGAGTAACTTTGTTGCCTGGGATGCCCTCGACACCATCATCTGCAGGTGACTGACTGACTGACTGCTTGTGACAGTTACTGAGGGATTGAACCAGAAAAGCCTCTTACCCAGTCTCTCTCTCTCTCTCCCGTCCACTGGAGGAAACAAGCAACACACACCCCCCCTTCATAATATTAACAATGGCAAATAGGTTAGTCGCTGATAATTAAGCCATAACCCCTTCACAACACACTTTCTGAAAAAAAAAAAGAGGGAGAAGGTGTGGACACAGATTTTTTTTCTTTATGAAAAAATATGTTTATTGAGAAAATATTCCTGAAAAGTTTATTATATTCACGACTTTTTGTACAGTGTAGTAAAATGTCACCAAATTACATGTTGGTTTCAAATGATTAGTGCCTCAGCTTGACGCTTTGACAATTCCTCTCATCCAAATCCACAGCACCGCTTGGAAAACTGTTAACTTTGACACGCAAAAAAATAAAAATGGTTCAGAACAACTGTCCTATTTCACAATCATCAAATTTTTAAACAAAGTTCAAGCGAGAATTGTTAAAGAGAGATGGGGGGCACTTGTCTGATCATAAAAGTCCCCATTTCGCGAGAATATCAAAAGGCACTTAAAGGTAGACTGTAACTAGGAATCAACAAACACAGTCAACTACTAAAATATAACAGATGTTACATAAACGAGATTATATGCATTTTAAAAAAATGTTAACTTAAAGGTATAACCATGAAACTTTCCCAGTTGACGCGTCTTTGACAGATCAGCTGATAAAGACGCGTCACAACCACCACCAAGTGACACATGCCAAAACATGTCAAGGTATGAAACATCCTAATACATGTCTGAGATAAAAGAACAGCTAAAGTCATTATCAGAAACTGAAGACATAATGAACGATTTATAATTTATATTACAATTCTTCTCAAATTTAATGTTAAAATTAGCAAATGAAGCATTAATCCAGTCTAAACTATCTAATTATCTAATTAAATATATACTGATTTGCAAACATCTGAACATCAGATAAAGCCAGGTTAAAAAATCTTGGTTCCCTTTACTAGAGTCGAAGGATTTTACAGAGGGCATTTTGGATGTCATCACTCCATGTTATCACTCCATAAATTAGAAAATACTGTCCATAACCATTGAAAAAAATCCATTTTTGCCATGATCTAAGGAAGAACATGTTGCATAAATCAGTCTATGAATAATATGTGAATTAACCCCTCTGTAAAAACCTTCAGAATATACCAATACTGGAAAGTTTGGTTACTGAAGCTGAGATTTTTGGCTTAGAGCATTTTGAGAAAATGGCCTTTAAAGAAATGTATCGTAAAATTCCATACAATTTTAGACAAAAAATAAGATAGCAGGGTAAAGATTTTAACTAATGAACTAATCTGAACTAAATAAACACCTAAATGTGTAGGCTATTTTGGACGTTTTTATTAGTCTGAAAATCTCAAAATTGACCAGTGCAATAAAAAATATGTGTCTCTCCCTTATTGCATGACTGTAAATATACTGCAACTAGGTCAACCTGTAAATACTGTAAATATTCCTTTCAATTATGAACTAAACTATCGCATGCATTGCATTTAGGCTTCTACATTATATATGTAGGCTACAAATGAATAAAAATATATTAATGTATTGAAGTGTATGACGAGAGGCATGGAAACTCTTTTGACATCTCTGTGCAGAAAATGCAGGAATGCCACAATTCCTTTAGGATGAGCCACCTGAGGACAAAAAAAGTGAAATTAAAAACTTGAATAACATGCAATTAAACTTTCATGTTTGATCATTTTGACAGTTGGAAATCCTACCGAGCCTCTTCACTAGTTCTGGGTGATGGCTTTTGAGGGCGTCGTAGAATGCTGCTTTGACCACTTCCCCTCCTGAACGCAATGATCTATCATAAAGCACTCTCATCTTTTCGTGGCTTGTCACCTGAGCTCGGATCCATGAGTAGGCTTCACCATGGACCATGTCTCCAAGATCCTCTGTTATTGACATGACCTCGGCAACGCTTCTAATTATCTTCGCCCTGTTCGCGTCAACAAACTTTGCTGTTTTCGAATAAAAAAGAGTGACAGCATAAAAACATATTTCAATTAATGATGTGACTCAATGTGAATAAAATTATAAAGTTCAATATGGAGTATCAATGCAATGACAAAAATACTCACCTTTATCCTGAATGCTCATGCTTTCAGTAAAAACTCTGACAGAATCCTGTTGGAAGAAACAGAAAGCTGTATATATTGTGTATTTTATTTTACCAGTGCACTGATAAATGTATGATACACTAGTTTCAGAATCCCAATCTAAAACAGCTGTATTGTTTTTGTTTGTTTCCTTTATGACAGAGTGGCATGTGTTAGTTATAATATGATAATAAACCACGAGAATGTGATGTCCATTCCTGTAAAAAATATTCATTTTAATTAAAGGTACTGTATGTAACTTTTTTTAACATTATCTTTTTGGCTTTTTGGCTCTATTTGATTTGATTTCTTTATTGTGAAAGGGGGAGAGGGAGGGGATGACATGCTGTAAAGGGCTGCAGACTGGAATCGGACCGGCGCTGCTGAAGCAAGGATACAGCCTTAGTACATGGGGCGCCTGCTCTAGCTACTGGTCGCTATATGATTTTTTATTGCCAATGGGTTAATGGATTAACGTAACTTTATAACATAAAGACTGTCCCCAACCTTCTTGGTTGCCTAAAACACCCTGTGGACTGATTTCTATGTAAAGGACTCAGGCCAAATTTTCTGGTAATATCCGAAGAATATGTTAAACCTTAATCACGAAATCCCTTACTGGCAGAAAGTCCTCAAGGCAAACTTCGACAGCGTGCTGCATCTCTCTTTGGCTGTGCTACAGCGCTACAGTGTGCAACAGTAGCTAATGTTACAGAAATGCCCGCTAATGTCAACAAACAACCGGCACCCACAATGCTGTGTTTCCATTATGCAGTGGCAGCCCCGAGACGGAACTTCAGTTACCGATGAGGTTTGAACTGGCTGAATTCAAGCTGTAACAGCCACTGACTGAAGGCTCCGCTGGGGAAAGTAGCCTAATGTCTGAGCTACAGGCGTAAAGTAGTAGTAAAGTGCAGTGCGCTAACTAATGCTTGTCTCATTTGTGGTCTAAATAGTTAATTCATCAAATTCAGTGCCCCATATCATAATTTCAGTGTCCCTTGGAGCTTAAAAAATCCCAGAGGAAAACACTGACATGTTAAATATATTGTGATATTGTGTTTTAGCTGGCTAAAGTTAGCTAATATTGGCTTGTTTTCTAAAGTGGATGAATTGCTTGCTGGCAAACATAGCAAAATACTGTATTGAGTGGATAACGTCAGCTAATTCATCCAGATTTCGAAGCAACTAACACCTGATCCATTTAGCATAGCTAAGTTAGCTGAGCAGCCAATGACCTAGGCTATATTTAGCCAGCTAGCTGTAAAGCTACGCTGCATGGATCTGCCTTTGGTTGCTTCGTAGCATCAGCTGATGAGGTAATTTGCAAATGGCAAGATAGTTAGTATCATGAAGTCAATGGTCCAGATGAAATGTAGGAACAAAGGCCTACAGATTGCTGTAATTTGATTTCCAGGGTTCTATCAAAGATGCCGGTCAGTCTCTTGTTAGTCACTGTTGCAGCTGATGCAGGTGTGTGCTCGCAGCTACGGAGGATTCCAACTACAGTTCACCTAATGGCCACTGGGTGCAGTTACATGATGGCTTCTCATTTGAAATGAAATAAATCTGAATGAAATAATTTGGAATTAAAGCCTTTCCAGGTAGTTTACATGACAAATATTCATTCCGAATGAGTGTTTACACGGGAGATCAGTTTAATCGCCTTTATTCAGGTCCGCGCAAGGTTTGGGGCAGGGAAGGTTTCGGATTGGATAGGGGGCGAAGCGGATGTTACGTGTTTATGTTTACCGGAAGAAAAACATTGTAGTCCTCGCTCCAGATAACAAGATGGCCGTTGTTAGTGCCTTTTTCGGGCTTGTTTTGCTTATATTCTTGAAGCAGCAGTACGACAACAACCTTGTTCTGCTATTGCTTCGTCTGTTGAGGAGGAGAAAGGAGGTAGAAGGTCGAAGAAGGGAGATAGAAGACCGTGCTGTGGCGAATGGAAACCGGTGAGTGCAACGAGTCAACTGCTCTATCTCAGCCCGTTGCTACGCACGCTATACGTCATCCCGCCAGAAGGGCAAGGAAACGAGCATGCGCAGAAAGACCGGAATGAACTGAGGAATGAGTGTATACAAGTGCAAGAAATTCTTTCATTTGTAATTAGAAACGGAATATTCCAGCCCCTTACATCGGATTGACTTTTCAATCGCACTGGCCATTTTCATTCCGAATTAGGTGTTTACAAGATCACTTTTAATAGGAATGAACTGTCATTCCGAATGAAAAGGGAATTAAACTGTCCATGTAAACGCACTCACTGATATAGGTATCACTCAAAATGAGGATTCTCTGAAAGTTACACAGAGAACCTTTAATAATACCAAAATATAGTTAAAATCAAACACATTCCCATGGCATATCTCTGTTGTACATAAGGTATGATGGTGGGCTAAATGTTTTTGCTCTCTTTATCTCAAAACTACCTGATGTAATAAAATCACTCCATTTGGTACTTCCTGTGAGGTCAAAGTGCATTTGGCATACCTGTGCTGAAGGCCTTTCAGTTCTGGTAAATCTGACAAAATCCACAGTATCATTTGGCTTTGTCTGTCCTGAAAAAAAATAAATAAATAGACATAAATATTATGTTTTATTGTGGAAAGTAAGTATAAAGCAAGCCCACAAACAGTATTGAAATACCTTGTGTCTGAGGAGGAACATCAATTGCCACACGTGTGTTTGACTGTTGATTACTGGTTGGTGACTTCTACAGTAAAAGAGAGAGAAAACATTATATATCAGCAAATATATCAATCAGTATATCAATCATAGTTAATCTGCACTATATTTCAGGTATTAAATTAACGAGTTGTACCAGTCTTGCCGAGACTTGTTGGACTGCCTCATGAATTCCCTCCTCGTGCTTTGAAAACAAATTCTCAGTGTCTTCACGGCACTCTGAAACAGACACAAAGTTTATTTTTAAATGATGTATATGTCAAGCTTTCTATGCTCATTTGATTTAGCTCAGAGTAGAAATTGTCCTCATATGGTGACAGCAGTAACAAATATTTACTTATAAAAAGAGGCCTGCTGGAGGGATCGCCATCCCAGCACTTCTTGATGAGGACAACCAGTTCCTTCAACCCTTCTGCCTTATTCTGGTCAGTTTCCACAAGGGAAGGTCTTTGCCCATCACAGATCGCCTCCTTCACATGATCATAACCAGCTGCTACAGTACATGGAACACAATGCACAAAAACATATAAACACAACTGAGTATGTGTGAACTGACATTTACTGTGTATACAGTGCTTCTTTTTGTTGTAACATTATAAACCCTAACCCCCTAACCCTACAGAGGTGGCAATAGATGATAGGATCGGATTTCACAAAATAAAAGATTATAAACTAAATGCCCAAAAAGAACAACAATGTGGTGGAAAATTATGAGATAATGAAATGAACTAAACCTACTTCCATAGGGCTCTTTACCAGTGACAATGGACCAGAGCAGGATACCATAGCTGTAAAGAAGAGAGAAAGAATTTTCAGTAACACATTAATTCTGTTTTGACCATATGGAGTAGTGCTCTTTGTTAAAAATATGTCTAACCTGTAGACGTCATAAGATCGGTGAGGTTCATATGGTTCTTTAAAAGCTTCAGGAGGCATGTACTTGTATGTGCCTCCAATTTCTCTGAGGCTTTTTTCTCTTGATCCTTCATTGTTGTTCAAAGCACTGGTGGAAACTCTGCACAGACCAAAGTCTGCTAGCTACAGAAAAAGAATGGAAACATTTCAAACACACGATTGTATCAACTTTATATGTAATGAAAACATGGAACAAGAGTTCAGGTTGATGCCACTCTACCTTGGCATTAAGGTCGATAGTTAGCAGTACATTACTTGGCTTTAGGTCGTGGTGCATTAGGCCATAGTGATGGAGGAAGTTCATGCCCAAAGCCACTTGATGGGCCAAGCGGAAGACCAGGGGCCATGGTGGAGGGCCAGAGAGGACCTTCAGCAAGGACTCAACAGACCCTCCCCTCATGAACTCCATCACTATTCCGTTTTGCATGGATGGTCCTGCACCAGGCGGACATCCCTGATAAATTCCATACCGTCTGAGCACAAACTCACAGGAAGCTTTATCCATGTGAGCAGCCTCCTCGCTCAGTGACATGAAGGGGCTGGAATGAGGTAGGGGGTTGTTGGAAGGAGTGGAGAGAAAGCAAAGGGCACAGAGCTTCTTATGTGACTATTTAACATGTGCATGAATTAATCATTTAAACAAAGTGCTCAAAGTTACAGAGGAGTTGCACACATTTATACATTTACCAGATACCATGACGTAGTATCTTAATGGCCACATCAAAGCCCCAGTCCTTGTGCCTGGCCTTGTACACATGACCAAATCCCCCAGAGGCAACTGATTCCCATTTCTCCAAGTTGTCATTACCAACAGGCTTGTGGCTCGACACCGCCATCTCCTGCTAAAATCTGGTAGAACAAATGCAGCCTCAGAGCTAGTAAAACATATTTCTTACAGAAAAAAAACTGCTAAACACAAATGAAGTGGTTCAGTGGCTGATTAGTTAGCCTCTGTGGATTTATACACTATGTTGAAGTTATTGCTCAGACTATGCCCTTGTTTTTACACACTGAGACCAGACCAAGAGCTCGTAAAGACACTGCCAAACATTTCCCACTGACATTTCCCTTGTGTTCTTGTTACCTTATAAAGAATCTGGGCTCTACTCACCATATATCCCCTCAGATGCTGTCCACGTGTGGCATAAAGATTCAAGAGTTAGTTCATACCAAGAGGCTAAACAAACTGCAGCTAAACAAGAGAGCACAAGATTCAGTTTCCTGTCCCACTCTCTGGCAGCCCGAAGCTGTAGTTGGGGGGAGGAGCGTAAACTGAAAACAGTATGGGTGGGGCAACATCTGTATGAATGCATGGTATTCAAAACAGTGTGGGTCACATTTCTGAATGAAAGCTGCTTTTAACCACAAGTTTGATTGTTATGGTATTTCAGGACACAGCAGGAATGTGTTGCTTATATCACATCCATTAAAAAAATTGTTAAAACTCTAACTATTACTAACTATTACTAATTTTTCTGTAGTGAAATACAAACCAGAATATTGTTCCATTGTGTCATTTTGTTACTATTTTTATAGTAGCTATAAAAATACTGTGACACATCTTTAACTTCCTTATGATACATGAGTGGCAGTAAGCATGCACTGTGAGAGATTCAAGATTCAAGATTCAAGACAACTTTATTTATCCCTTAAAGGGCAATTTCATTTGGTCTCTCTGCTTAAGTTTTCAAATTTTCACAACTCTGTTCAGGCTGTTCTTATCCCTGTGTGACAGGTTGTTGAACCAACAGATAAAAGAATAAGTCAAAAGGCTTTTAATGAAGGACTGATACAAACGACAAAGAATCACTGGACTGACAGGAAAAGAATTTAACATTCGAAGGAGATGAGTCCTCTGCTGTCCACGTTTGACCAGTGCTTCAGTGTTAACATCCCATTTAAGCTGGTTGTCAAACACAGTGCCTAGATTTTTGTAGGAGCTGACAATTTCAATCTTCTCTCCATCTATGACACTCTCAGTGAAGGCCTTCTTGTCACGTCTAAAATCAATCATCATTTCTTTAGTTTTGGATGCATTTAACTCAACTCTAAAAAGTTGTCCTTACACCAATCTACAAATGCAGGGAGAGCCACACTATGGTTGTGTTGGGCACCCTGAAGTAGAGACAACAACACAGTATCATCCGAAAACTTAACAAGGAAGCTGCTGTCACAAGATGATCTGCAGCTGTCAGTGTATAAGATATAAAGAAGAGGTGACAATACGCACCCTTGTGGTGAACCAGTATTAGTTACAACAATGTCAGACAAATGAGAGGAAGTTATGATTGCACGTAGTTGGGTTCTTCTTTATGTGTTATCTGAATGGGGCGGTGCTGTGGTAAGAAAAGTTGCAGTGATTGCAAATTTGGCAAAGTCTTGTCTATGACGTGTATTTATCTTTCAGTGTGATCTATATGAAGGAAGCTGAGACTAAGACCACATTGTTCATATTAGTCACAGAGTGAGTCTCAATGTAGATGAAGAATAAACATGTGTAGTACTTTCGCTTTTGTTAGACAACAGTTTAAGTGAGACATTCTGAAACAAGAAAAGAAAAACGCTCAAATACAGTGGGATCAATCAGGTTAAAATACATGTAATGTTAAAAGTAAAGTTTCAGCTAGTTCTTAAAGAGATAGCTCACCCCCAAATCAAAAGTACATTTTTCTCTTACCTGTAATGCTATTCGTCCAGATCAGGGATACTCAGCTTGCTTTGCTAAGGGGCCACTTTTGCAAAATGACAGGAGGCCAGGGGCCAGTTAACAAATAAATATCATTTTATTAATAATATTACACCAATCTTTTGATATTGCCATCCCTACTTATCATGGCCAAGAGACAAATTTAGTTGCAGCAGCCCCACACAGGGAATCCACACCAGCACTTTTCTTCTTTTTTTCTAGTAACAATCTCAATTTGATGCTTTTATGCACTCTTGCAGCTTCTCTACATTAAAGTACAAAAAATGTTAGTGGTAATCAACCTGTTTTCATTGTGAATTACATGGAAACCTATCATGGGCCAGATTGGTCCACAGGCCCTAAATTGGGTATCACTGGTCTAGATTGTTTTGATGTGAGTTGCAGAGTGTTGGAGATATCGGCTGTAAAGATGTCTGCCTTCTCTTCAATATAATGGAACTAGATGGCACTTGGCTCGTGGTGCTCAAAGCACCAAATAATAATAATAATAACAATAAACCTGAAAAACTAAGCAGCTATGTCTTTTTACAGAAATCATGACCCAGTTACTCAAGATAATCCACAGACCTTGTTGTGAGTATTTTCATGTAGGAACTAGGCTATTTTGTTCCCACCAAGCTACATCCCCCAACTGTATCACTGTGCAAAAGGAAGCGTGCATTTACTCATGGACGAGAGGCTCATGCTTGTGATGATGTAAACATTAAACACGTCCTGATTTTGTCAAAGGGTTGTTGTCCTGAGAACAACATTTTGTATGATAGCTCTGGTACAACAACTGCCTCAGCCAATCAATGTTTCTGGTGTCATCAAAGTGAGTCTGCTGCCAGTGCCTTGCAAAATATATACAAATCAGCTATGCAAAGAGGTGCAAATTACAAGATGAGACCTAAGACCAAAACTTAAGGTTTTACTTTAGTTTAGTCTGCTGCTACAGACATTAAGATATGTGCTTTTTAGATTAACTGTTAGGATTTTGCCACCATGGAAACAAGCTCACATTAGCTTGCGAAGGTGAGCTGAAGACAGCACCATGTAATACAAAATAAAATAATTTTGACTTGAGAGCATCCATGAGGTTGGGTTACTTTTTAGGGCAACATGGTATGACACATGGTACAAAAATGAGTGTTAACATATCTGCTGCTTGCAATACTGCCCCAAAATAGCCTAGAGTATCCCTCAGTATTTTGCTAGCGCCTTTTAAATATGAAAATTATTACATTTGCAGTTAAGTGGAGGTAAGCAACTTTTAAACTAGCTAGCATGTTAGCTAGGTAGTTTAAGTTAACTTTGCCCACTGCTCATTTATAAAAGCCACCACAAAAAAGATTGTTCTTAGTTTATCATGCGCTTTACATTGGTTACCAATAAGCCTCATATTGTTATACAATATTTTTTTGTCACTAAGCACCATCTTGGGGAAAAAAAATCAAGGCCACAATTGGCAGGCTAGAGCACTAATGCTAGCACGCAAATGTTAGCATGCTAATGCTAGCGCGCTACAGCTAGCCCACTAACTCTGACAGCCAGAAACAAACATTTATGACTCACTGTCCCTTTAACAACCCAAATAAAGAACATATTTTCTTGTAGTGGCTTTTCTAAAATGAGCAGGAATTAAAGTTAACATACTGTATTCTGTTATGATCAAGGAGTTAATACTAAGCAGCTAGCGTCCTAGCTGGCTAACTGTTAGCTCACCTTTGCAAGCTAATGTGAGCTTATTTCCATGGTGACAAAATACTAACAGTTAATCAAAAAAGCAAATACATATTTTAATGTCTGTAGTAGCGGACTAGTGTAAACTAAAGCAAAACTTTAAAGGGGCAATAAGCGAAATTCATCATTTCTAGATTGAAGGAATTAAAAAATTGCTATGTGAAGAACTAGAGGTGTAATTTCATCTGGAGTATAGCATGACCTCACACACCCTCTCTGTGTTGATCTCCAGCCCATTGTTTACAAGCCGGTCCGGCTGCGTGTTCATGTACGTTCATGTGAATCGCTGCCTCCTCACTCCTCTCGGAGCCCTTGGCCCTCCCTCCCTATAAAAGGCTACAGCCAGTGAGCAATGGCAGCTGGTATTTTCAAAGTGAAATGGCGGAGAGCGGAGCAGAACGTCCACCTGAAGAAGACCAGGATCTGACATTACCTCTAAAGAAACAACGGTTGTTGGTGAAGAAGTTGTCGGATAAAGAAAGGGATAGAACTTGGATTAACATTGGCTTTGCATTTCCAAGGTGGAGAGCACTGCGAGAGCTAAAGGGGCTACAATCTGACTCTGAGCTAGTTCTTCTTCTCCTGGACAGGTACAACATAAAGTCAAATGTCTGTTTTAATTAGTGTTACAGTAACGTTAGGCACATGTCGCTATGTCGATTCAATTAAATTTAATGTTACAATTGTAGCATGGGTTAATGTCCAGAGCTTCGGTCCCAGCAATGGGTCAAGCGTTTCGGTTGTGTTAGGTGAGTAGCCCGGCAGCCCAGCTAACGTTTGCAATTAGCATTGTAAAATGTAGCCCGGCGGGCAGTCTGGTGGCTGTGTTTAGCTATTCCCCTGCCTACTTCAATGATGATGGTACCTGTAATAAATGTAATATATTTGCTGAGATGGAGGCGAGGCTCAGTGACTAGAAGAGCTGGTAGAAGCGCTCCATAGCTGCAAGCTACTCCAGTAGCTCTAGTGTTAACTGTGGGAGCTAAAGCTAACATTCCTCTCTTCTCCGTGGAGAAGAGTTGGAATGTTAGCATAGCAGCCGACTAGTGCTAAGGCTAACGTCCCCACGCCAGAGCTCGCCGGAGCCGAGAAGCAGGCTCCTGGAACGTTAGCATAGCAGCCGACTAGTGCTAAGGCTAACGTCCCCACGCCAGAGCTCGCCGGAGCCGAGAAACAGGCTCCCGGAACGTTAGCATAGCAGCTGACTACTGCTAACTCTAACGCCGAGAGCTCCGACTCACTGAGCCTGGCGGAGAAGCGTGAGCCCGGCTCCCGGCTCAGTTGGGTCGTTAGCGTGACAGCCGAGTAAGTGCTAATGCTAACAGGAAAGCAGGGAAATAGCTAAACACAGCAGAGACCGAGAGTGAGTGAAAGACATTGCTAACTGCTAAACTAAGTTGGCTGTTCAGGTTTTATTTCCTCGCCCCTGTGGTGAGTGAATCTGCCTACAGTGAAAGTGGGGGCTAACCGGTGCTTCCTCCTCAGGATCCACTTCACTCAGCTACTAACACACCCAGTTAGTTGGGGGGGGGGGGCTCATGACACACTTTGTTTTGCTCTACAGGCAGTGCACAACAGCGAACCTAACGGTGTAACGATTTCGCTTATTGCCCCTTTAAGTTTTTGTCTCATCTTGTAATTTGCGCCTCTGCCTAAACAGCAGTTGTGTACATATTTTGCAGGGCACTGGCAGCAGGGCGCAATTTGATGACATCACAATTTTGATTGACTGAGGCAGCTGCATACAAAATGTTGTTCTCAGAACAACAACCACTTGGCAAAATCTTGGCTAAGCTGTAACATTAGC